AACAAAATTCAGGCTTGCGAGTCAAGAAAACTCACCGGCAAATCCCTAAAAAGTGGTATATATACTCTATGAGTAGATCAGTTCGGACGGCGAGGGTCAATTGCGATTTCAATTGTCCGAATGCTTAACATGAGGAGTTTTGTTTAAATGGACAATCGAATTACTACATTGTTGTACAGACTTATGAAGATTTGTTATTTATCACACCAGAATACGATAACTGATTCCCGTTTTTCTGCAGCCGTTTGGCCTTAATACGAGGTTGCAGATAACGCAGTCCACGAGAACTCTTTCATTTGTGATGAAACTGAGCGAAGACTTCGTCCATCATATTACCGGCATCATCAGATTCTCAAGTTAACATTAGGTTAAGAAGACTTTTCGGCGCTGTCTTACATCTTATTTATACTCATAAATGAAAAACCCAAATATTTTGATATAGATGGGCGATACCAATGACCAAGTTAGAATTGTGGCGAGTCTGTCGTGTTGAATAAGAAAATATTCGGTTCAATGATTGGCTCAAAATTGGAGGACAGCTGAGTAAAGTACGGATCATGGCGTTCACGTTTGCCTGCACGCGAGTAAAGACTATCGGGGAAGGAGATCTGACCGATTTTGCCAGATGACACCGTCCTCGACTCCCCATTGTAACATCATCTTGGCACACTTTTGCAGCCTTCTATTACCTGATTGGGTCTAATTCATGTCAGCAGGATGGGTACAAACGTGGGCTGCTGCCTCTGGTATACAAGCGACTCGGTGAGTACCACATAGTTTATAGTCTTATCGATGGGAACGGGAGAAAAAAGGAGCCCAAATATGCCATCTGGTTTACCCTCACTACATCCCACGAACAGAGATTCTCTCGAACGCGACATGTGAACCGGCCTACCTGAACACACAGACATACCCTAGGCTTTCGCCATAAGCATAACTAATTTCCCACGGGTACCATAACTACTGTATTCTACGAGATGTATTCACCCAATTTCGGTTAAGGTGATGAAGGGCTGGTAAAACAATTTTCTCACAATGATATGAATAGGGCTGAAGTTTCCATTGAATTTCATATAGCCTTGCTTTCCAAAAGTTGTTCTCATCCAGGGTGGATTGCAGTTTCGACCTCGCATCGGTCTTATCAACACCCCCTGCGGGAGTCGAACCGTAACAGTGCAAAATGGTAGCATGACACGTTAACCACTCGGCCACATTGCCACGAGTGCCTTTGGGTCACAGGGGAAATGTGAATTTCAAGGAAGACCAGGAGGCCTTTGCTCTACTTATATCATTGTGGGGAAATTGTTCTACCAGTTCTTCATCACCTTAACCGAAATTGGATGAATACATTTCATATTACTGATTTACTGGTAGTCTCGAAACAATACTTAAATGCGAAAAATAAACTAACGTAGTCAATTGTTATAGCAAATATACGTTTGCTTCATCGACAATCCCACCAAAGAATATGATATGGCAAGGGCCTAACCTTCCTTGAAATTCACATTTCTCCTGTGACCCAAAGGCACTCGTGGCAATGTGGCCGAGTGGTTAACGTGTCATGCTCCCATTCTGCACTGTCACGGTTCGACTCCCGCTGGGGATGTTGATAAGACCGATGCGAGGTCGAAACTGCAGTCCATCCTGGGTGAGAACAACTTTTGGGAAAGCAAGGAAACGTCAGCTCTACTCATATCATTGTGGGAAAATTGTTCTACCAGTCCTTCATCACCTTAACCGAAATTGGGTAATACATTTCATATTATTGATTTACTGATAGTCTCGAAACAATGCTTAAATAGTGTATTCTAGCGCAAGTACGCATTCCGAATTGGTCAGACTCGGTAGGGTTCTTACAGCCTGACTTACCCGATGTGCCATTATGAATATTTCGACAAACCTTTGGGCAGATCATGATCTCACAGCTCAGCTTTCTGAAATGCCGTATCAGCGAGACGTATCTGCTGAAGCCATATTATTTGTTTGGATATCGCCATTGGAAAATTTTGTTTGCAACTATTTTTCGGGATTCAGTTGTGGCGTTGATTCTATTGGAGGCGCAAGTCCTGGGTTCGACCTCTGTCGGAACTGATAAATATTCCATCACAAGTTCGTCACACAGGTCAGTCCTAAAGAGGGGTGGTTCATTGTGGATAGGCCGGACACCTTTGGATACTAAATGCCCCCCTGTTTAGCATATTATTCCACCTTTTTCGGAAGTCCCACTTAGCGAATTATTAGTATGACTCGACTTTTTATCCTGAAAGAAAAGTTAATCGGAACGAATTCGTGAATAGGTCTTACCCTAACCGAAATGAGGGTTGCCGCAGAAGTTAGATTGCGCTCACACGTCGGTTCACTGTCCTGTTATCTCGATGAATCGGTGCTAAGATTTCATTTAACTCTACATGACATCGTCAAAATGAGGTACCATAATTCAGGTGACCAACAGGCCAACTCACTTCTTATGCAAAATTTTGCTATCTTTATGAGGGATACCATGATTTGTTTGGCAACTTCATGCTCATACTCCTTGTTTACAGTTAGGTGAAGAGATAACTCGAAAAGGATGTGGATACGGTGGCAACTGTTTTCTTCATTTGTACAATCAAGTAATCTTCACTCCGCGACAACCCTCATTCGGTTTCCGGTGCGACAAATTCACAAATTCTCTCCAGTCAAGTTTTTTTTCGAAATGAGGAATCAAGTCACCCTTTCCACTCAGTATGTCGTCTATTCCTTCTGTTTTTATGACTCGTTAGCTTGATTTTTGTTGTGACGATGATACCATGCTCAGACGATGTTCGTCATATGATGGACGAAAGCACCTTTTCACCGAAATCGAAA